CATCACTACTAGTAACAAGTGCATGACTACCAGTCACAAGAAGCTACTAGTAGCTAGTGCATTCCTACTAGTAACAAGAAGCTACTAGTAATAAGTGCATCATTACTAGTAACAAGTGCATGACTACCAGTCATAAGAAGCTACTAGTAGCTAGTGCATTACTACTAGTAACAAGAAGCTACTAGGAATACGTGCATCACTACTAGTAACAAGTGCATGGCTACCAGTCACAAGAAGCTACTGCTAGTAGCTGGTGCACTACTACTAGTATATAACAAGAAGCTACTAGTAATAAGTGCATCACTACTAGTAACAAGTGCGTGGCTACCAGTCACAAGAAGCTACTGCTAGTAGCTGGTGCATTACTACTAGTAACAAGAAACTACTAGTAATAAGTGCATCACTACTAGTAACAAGTGCATGACTACCAGTCACAAGAAGCTACCTAGTAGCTGGTGCATTACCACTAGGAACAAGAAGCTACTAGTAATAAGTGCATCACTACTAGTAACAAGTACATGACTACCAGTCACGAGAGGCTACTAGTAGCTAGTGCATTATTACTAGTAACAAGAAGCTACTAGTAACAAGTGCATTACTACTAGTAACAAGTGCATGACTACCAGTCACAAGAGGCTACTAGTAGCTAGTGCATTACTATACTAGCCTTTTCCTTCCTTTATTCACTGATTTCAGGCGACGACGACGCCGCCGATGCCGCGGATGATGGTGACGACGCCGCTGATGGCGATGCTGGGGACGATGGTGACGTGTTTTAATTTGGGGATGGTCGCATCTGGAGGCCCTTTGGTGAGTTCCAGCTGATGAAATAGGCTTCCGAGGGTGAAGAAATTGGATGGAGACATCAAAAGATATCAAAAGTGTTTGTAACCTTGGCTGTAAGTCCAGAAGAGCTGGGTCCAAGGCGACAGTGACACTGCGACCTCAACTGTCACTTCTCAGCAGTGCAGTTGGGGAAACCCATCCATCGAGGACGGGGACGGTCCGAGGGATACGAAGGCAGGGTCGGGTGGTCCAGCTGCCCCAGGGAACTCAGGCTGTCCAGTCGACCTGGGCGAAGAGTTTTGTTGACGACCTTGAACAATACCCAAACACTCCATGGGACTGCCATCTATGCCGATCAGGCCAGGGGTGGTTGGAGGGGTCAATGTAGGCAAATATTCCATACATGGAGTGTCTGGGATATATACCCCAGGGCTCTCCGGTCCTGGTATATGTGATACTGTATATGCTTTAGACCAGATGACTTATGAGACACATGTGTACATGAATTATGAAATCCACTTGATCATGTCCAAGCGGGCGCAGAGACCAGAAGCGGCTCCTTTTCAGAGACGAAACGGACCACCCACCAGACCGGTCGGCGAGTCCGTTCGGCTTGTCGAAACCACGAGGGCGAAGAACGGGTTGGGGTGTCCGTCCATGGCAGTGGGGAGCCACTCTCGAGGACTACTTCTTCGAATCCAGTCAGTGTACTCAAGCGGGATCCTTGGTCTATCGCCTGAGCTTCTTGGACGAACTGGGAAGTGGAGTAGGTTGTACCAATGCCACCCTTTTTGGTGTTCGTTGGGGGTGGTGGGGTAGGGTTGTACCAATTGACCTGATTTCTTGCAGGTTTGATTTGGTTGCTCACGACGGTACTCTTTTTTGGCAATGACACTGAGAGTAATCATTACCAATGACACTGGTACAACACTGGCACCGCAATAACAATACTGAGGAATTGTGCCATTACTGAAAATACAATGACACTGGTACTCCTATGGGTGTGTATTCAAATAGGGAGACTGCTTGAAGACTCCATGGAAGAAGGGCCAAGACTAAAACCCAGTACTCCTATGGGTGTGTATTCAAATAGGGAGACTGCTTGAAGACCCCATGGAAGAAGGGCCAAGACTAAAACCCATTGGTTAGGAGGCCCCCTTGAGGGTTAAGGGTTTTGAATTAAAATAAGGGTTAAGGGTTTGTATATGGGTCCCCTTAAGGGTTATTGGTTAGGAGGTTCCCTTTGCATTTTATATTACAATACAAACCCTTTATGAATAATTGCGCAACATATTTTGAGGGGACCTGACCAGCGAAGCACATGACCTGATCCGCTTGTTTGGCCACCTGACCAGTTTGCACGCGGGTTAGGCAGCGGCTAGGAGTAGCAGGTGGTGGGAGGTTTGAGTGATCTGGGCATTTGATCAATGAATTCTGAAACCTTGCTCTATGTGCACGTGAATCAGAAGGTTTTACCAATCTTTACCATAAACAAACATGCTTGCCAATGGCCACCGTCGATGTCGCCGACCTTTCCCCCAAAGTCGGCTTTACATCGCTCGATAGTTCTTGCCATGCCATAAAAGTGCAGCTCTGGCAGGTGACTTTCCCAAGGACCCCCCTGGAAGAGTACTCCCTGAAACAATCATGGAAATGGATGGCATGGCCCCCCAACCGTCATGGAAGTGGATGGCCCACCTCTTAGAAGAGGACTGAAACCCATTCGTTTGGGGTCAAAATGCAAACCCATGAGATCTCCCATGCTTTTGTCGTCATACATCTCCAGGCACACCCGTCGTCCTGGAGAACATGATTGATCACAATTAGGGCTCCAAGCACCTTCTGAGACGGTGGAACTGCGGTGGGTGCCAGGAGGGTCCAGTCATACATCCAAATAGGGTCTATCCTGCAAGTCTCTTGATGGC